AACACATTGTTCTCATGGTTATGCATCGTAACAAATGTCCAAAAGTAAAAAGACTTCAGTAAAAATCCTCCCACCTTCACAGCATCTGATACCAGAGTAAATAATCATCCGAAAAAAGCAATTTACATATTTTAAAGAGGAATTAAAGTCTTCATAAGCAACAACTCATAATGAATGTAACAGAGCTACTCCAACATGCAGCCACCCTGAGCGGTGCAATTCTAGAACTCAATATGAATATGAATATGTTGACAGCAACAACTTAACACAGGAGAGGAAACAGTAACACTGATACAGTAACTGAAAGTACTGCCATACTTAAATAGAAGCTTACAAAACAATGAATGTTCTGCACAGATGAATGTAGCATAATACCAGAATTAATAACTGGCCAACTGCATTTCAGGAAAGAGAAGCAGCAACAGTGTTGCCAGGTGTACGATAATTATCGTATTTGTACGACAATTTTGCCCTCTGTACGATCAATAATCCCAAAAAAGGCCAAATATACGAAAATTTGACCATTCCGTGAATGTGTGATTGTAATCAGTTGTCATCAGCCTGTCGCAACTGTCTGTCGGGATTTTTTTGTGAACCCTGAAGGCATCTGTGTCCGCAAACAGATGCACGATTGGCTGCTGCTCTAAAAGTTACCTACGAGCGACGTGTTTGTGTTTAACTCAGAACAACGGCCATGATTGGCTGAAAAGTCCACTGCGCCCGTCCCATGAGTGAGGAAAAGAAAAAACGAAGAGAAGAAGAAGCAGAGCCGGTGTGGAAGCGGACCCATCACTACTATAGCGCATCAATAGATTTGTTATTTTGGTTATGACGGGTGTACAATAATTTCCCTCAAAATATGATAATTTTATGTCGCTAGTACGATAATCCCACATTTGTCACCTGGCAACACTGAGCAGCAACAGCCGATTACAAAGATGAGCCAAAAGAAACGAGAAGCTTCCTAGAAATGTAGTGGAGTTGAAAGTCACAAGTTCGCCAAAAAAACACACAAATACTCAAGTAAATATACTCAGAAAATGTACTTAAGTACAGTCCTCAAGTAAATGTACTCTGTTACTGTCTGCCACGGGCTGTTGGTGGAGAATCAGCTTTGTTTGGTGTTTCCTCAGACTGAAGAAGCCCTTTGGATGGAGGGCGAAACGTCTCAGCACAAAAAAAAAGAAAAAACGTTGAGATGACCTGAGTGAACATTGGTGGATACCTGGATTACTGAGCATGGATTCTGGTGAAAAAAAAGTTGGGGTGGGGAGGTGGGTTTTGTTAATTGCATTTATGATTCAGTGCACTAATAACCAAATTTAAAAGGTAGCAGATCATTGCAAACCTTGGTTTATTTACATAATGACTTTAGTTGCTGGATGTTCGGCCCCTGAGCTGCTGGTTTTCAGAAACTGTGGCCCCTGACCAGCTGTTTTAGAGGGTTCATGTTTTGACTATTGTCGACTCAGCTGTGTCTTGAACCCTCAGAAATAAACACTTTCAGCTGCAAACTGCATCCAACAAAACTTTCCTGACCGTGTCTTGATGTCGCTGCAGCTCCTACCTGTTGTGTGCAGGTGTGTGTGAGGTTTCCAGCTGATGTCCAGCAGTCTGCGCTGACGATCGATCTCTTCCTCGTACCGGACGATGGTTTTTTCAAACTCTGTGAATATTTCTTCAGCAGCAGCAGTTAGTCGCTCGCTGATAAACTCTCTCAGAGACTGAACTGAAGACATTGTTGCTGCACACACTCAAACATTCACCTCTCACACATACACACATGAACAGCTACAAACACAGAGCTAACTATGCTAACGCTGCTAGCGCCTTGTTGACTTCCGCTGGTGTCACACTGTGAAGCTCCGGAGGAAACTGCAACGGTTCTTCTTCTTCTTCTTTTCTATTATGGTGGATCGCAAGCAACTTTAAGGTGCATACCGCTACCTACTGTACACGAGTGTGTAGCAACACTACTTCACATCTATTAAATTCTATTTTTTAACCTAGAATTTTGCAGAAAAGTAAATAATGCTTTTCTTATTCTGTAAATATCCATTATGTTTCCTTCATTTCCCAATATTCCTTTAAGACTCCATTCTTGACCTGTCCTTCTAACCATTCTCAGTTTCTCCCTTTCAGGTTCATATGTTTTACAGTTCATCAATATGTACTCTATATTTTCTTTCTCTCCACACCCTTCACATTTATCATTCTGTTTTCTCCCTATTAAATATAAATTATCATTTAAATAGGTATGACCTACTCTTAATCTGAACATTATTATTTCAACTGCAACGGTTGAAAAGAAAACAATATTATAACAATAATAATAACATGCTGGTGAAGATTCTCAGTCATCCAGGACATGATGAATTCAAAAAACGTTCATTACAAAAACAACTGGACTTTATTTGTAACAGAAGACGTTTCGCTCCTCATCCGAGGAGCTTTCTCAATTCAAAGAGCAGTGAGTGAGGGGTTCAGGTTATAAGACTGAGTGAGAGAAGATACACATACATAGGTATATTGACAATTTACACCTAAACATCTTAACAGTAGGGGTTTCTTAAAGTCTTTGTTACTCTAATTCACAGATGAGGCCCTTCAGTTCCCATCAGGTGTGAAAACCTTGATGTTATCAACCGAGTTAATGTGTCTGGTGAACGCTTCTATTTCCTTGGCTTGGATTTTGACCCAGGTATCATCCACATATCGGAACCAATGGCTTGGCGTTGTTCCATCAAAGGAGTTTAGGGCTCTATGTTCCACTTCCTCCATGTAAGGATTGACAACAATGGGTGACACTGGAGAGCCCATGGCACAGCCGTGCTTCTGTCTGTAAAAATAGTAATAATAGATGCGAGTTGGCACTAAACTTAATTACTTGTTTTAAAAAAATCATGTTGTATTTGATTTCAAATTTTAGCAGCTTAATTTATCTGCAGCTTGTTGATAAAAACTTGATACTGATTCTACAGTAGGAACATAGAGAGGACACTGTCATTTTCCAACAACTGGGTCTTTATTTCCTGATGCACAGCAAGGAACTCGGTGTCCCTTGCCCAGACGTGGGTTACCAGGGTCCTACCCTAGAGCCAGGCCTGGGGGAGGGGCTTGTCGGCGAGCCCCTGGTAACCGGGTCTTTACCCATGGGGTCCAGTCGGGCTCAGTCCGAAGGAGCAGCATGGGTTTGCCTTCCTGTGGACCCACCACCTACAGGAAAGGCCATAAAAGTTGGGTGCGTGATGCCATGGGCAGTGGCCGAAGGCGGGGACCTTAGCGTTCTGACCCTGGCTTACCAAAGCTGGCTCTTGGGACATGGAACATGACCTCTCTGGTGGGGAAGGAGCCTGAGCTTGTGCATGAGGTTGAGAGTTACCGACTAGATATAGTTGGGTTCACCTCAACGTACAGCACGGGCTCTGGAACCAATCTCCTTGAGAGGGGCTGGACCTTATTCAACTCTGGAGTTGCCCATGGTGAGAAGCGTCGAGCTGGTGTGGGTCTACTTGTAGCCCCTCGACTTGGTGCCTGTGTGTTGGAGTTTTCCCCGGTAGATGAGAGGGTAGCTTCCCTGCACACTTGGGTGGTGGTTGGGCTCCGACTGTTCTTTGTGACTATGTACCGAATGGCGGTTCAGAGTATCCAACCTTCTTGGAGTCCTTGGCAGGGGTGCTGGAAGGTGCACCAGCTGGGGACTCCTTACTTCTGCTGGGGGATTTCAATGCCCACGTGGGTAATGACAGTGTGACCTGGAGGGGTGTGATTGGGAAAAAAGGCCTTTCTGATCTGAACCAGAGCGGTGTTCTGTTGTTCGACTTCAGTGCTAGTCATGGTTTGTCCATCACAAACACCATGTTCAAACATAAGGGTGTCCATAAGTGCACTTGGCACCAGGACGCCCTAGGTCGTAGATTGATGATAGACTTCATAGTCGTGTCATCTGATTTGCGTCCATTTGTTTTGGACACTCGGGTGAAGAAAGGATCTGAGCTGTAAACTGATCACCACCTGGTACTGGGTTGGATCAGATGGCAGGGGAAGATCCTGGACAAACCCAGTAGACCCAAACGTGTAGTGAAGGTTTGCTGGGAACGCCTGGCAGAAGAAACCTTCAGAGAGATCTTCAACTCGCACCTCTGGGAGAGCTTTAATTGCATCCCAGCTGAGGTGGGGGACATTGAGTCTGAGTGGGCCATGTTCCACGCCTCACTTGATGAAGTAGCTGCCTTGAGCTGTGGCCGCAAGGTTGTCTGTGTTTCTTGCAGTGGCCATCCACAAACTCGTGGTGGACACCCCGGGTTAGGGAAGCTGTCAAGCTGAAGAAGGAGTCCTATTGGGCCTTGTTGGCCAGTGGGACTCCAGAGGCAGCTGAGGAGTACCAGAGGGCCAAGCGGTACGCAGCCTTGGCTGTTTCTGAGGCAAAAACTCGGATGTGGGAGGAGCTCGGTAGGACCTTGGAAAACGACTCTCGGTCGGCTCCGAGGAGATTCTGGCAAACCATCAGACAGCTGAGGGGAAAGCAGCACTTTACTAACACTGTCTTCAGTGAAGGTGGGCTTGAAAGCAGCACTTTACTAACACTGTCTTCAGTGAAGGTGGGCTGCTGTTGACCTCAACCAGTGATGTCGTCTGGAGGTGGAAGGAATACTTCTCAGACCTTCTCAATCCCACCAGCACGTCTTACATGGAGGAAGCTGGGTTGGGGGACTTTGGTGTTGATCCATCAATAACTGTGGCCGAGGTCGCTGAGGTAGTTAAAAAGCTGCAAGGTGGCAGGGCTCCAAGAGTGGACGAGATTCACCCTGATTTCCTTAAGGCTCTGGATGTTGTGGGGCTGTCTTGGTTGACACACCTTTGCAACATTGTGTGGACATGGGGGGCAGTGCCACTGGATTGGCAGATTGGGGTAGTGGTTGCTTCTTCAAAAGGGGGACCAGAAGATGTGTTCCAATTATAGGGGCATCACCCTCCTCAGCCTCCCTGGTAAGGTCCATTCAGGGGTACTGGAGAAGCGAGTCTGATTGTTGGCCGAACCTCAGATCCAGAAGGAACAATGTGGGTTCCCTCTTGGCCGTGGAATACTGGATCAGCTCTTTACCTTCAAAAGGGTTCTCGAGGGGTCATGGGAGTTTGCCCATCCTGTTTACATGTGCTTTGTGGACTTGGAGAAGGCATTAGACCATGTTCCTCAGGGTACACTGCGGGAGGTGCTCCATGAGTATGGGATTGGGGGTCCGTCTGTTCAGTCCCTGTACAAGTGGTGCGAGAGCTTGGTTCGCATTGCCGGCAGTAAGTCACACCTCTTCAGGGCGGGAGTTGGACTCTGCCAGAGTTGCTCGTTGTTACAGATTCTGTTCAAAACTTTTATAGACAGAATTTCTCAGTGCAGCCAGTGGGCGGAGGGTTTCCGGTTCGGTGGCCTCAGGATTCCATCTCTGCTCTTTGCAGATGATGTGGTCCTGTTGGCGTCATTGTGCCATGATCTTCAGCTCTCACTGGAGCAGTTTGCAGCCGAGTGTGAAGCGGCTGGGATGAGAATCAGCACCCCCAAATCTGAGGCCATGGTCCTCAATCGGAAAAGGGTGAATTGCTCTCTCCAGATCGAGGGTGAGGTTCTGCCTCAAGTGGAGTTCAAATATCTTGGGGTTTTGTTCACAAGTGAGGGAAGAATGGAGCGTGAGATTGACAGATGGGATTGGTGCAGCATCTGCAGTATCGCGGACTCTGTGCCGATCCGTAGTAGTGAAGAGAGAGCTGAGCTGTAAGGCTGGAAGTTTGGTTATCCAGGAGAGACTCGGAGTAAAACCGCTGCTCCTCCACATCAAGAGGAGCCAGTTCAGGTGGTCCGGGCATCTGGTAAGGATGCCCCATGACTCCTCCCTAGGGAGGTGCTTCAGGTATGTCCGACTGCGAGGAGACTCCAGGGAAAACCTAGGACACGCTGGAGAGACTATGTTATTATTACTTTATTACAGACTCAAAGTCCAACCAACATCACAGATAAATACAGAAAAAAAAAGAAAAAAAAAAAAAAAATTAAAAATATACAGATAAAAAGGTTCCTAACCATGCAGGAGACAGTCATACCAGTGTCTCCAAAGTGCAGAAGAATATTTCACTGCACTATATTTGACATTGGTCAACAGCAAAATGTATGTATCTCGGTTGGCCTGGGAATGCCCTCTCCCAGAAGAGCAGGAAGAGGTGGCTGTAGAAAGAGATGTCTGTGCCTCCCTGCTCAAGCTGCTGCCCCCGTGACCCGACTTCGGAATAAGCAGAAGGTAACGGATGGATGGATGGATTATTGAGCATGAACTTTGACCTTTCCCACTGGTGTTTTAGGACTACAGTTTAATGATGAACTTCTGACTTCAACTTGTCAATTCTGAGTTTTAGCCATCTCCATAGTCTGAGAAAGTTACAAGATTCACACGATTACACCTTCTCATGTCTGATAAAATACATTTTTTGAATAAATCTTTTTCCATTGGATTGGACTGACAGGAGAACGGTCTGAATTCTCATGTGGTGTTAACTTTTGTTTTCACTGTAACTTTTCCATGAGGTAAAAGGCTTTTATTCGGTGTGAGTTGTCATGTGGTTTTTCAAATTTGATTTATTACTGTAACTTTTTCCACAGGTCACACATGAGAAAGGCTTCTCACCAGTGTGAGTTCTCATATGTCTGATTAAATCAAAGTTTTTATTAAAACCTTTTCCACAGGTCTGACATGACAAAGGCCTCTCACCTGTGTGAGTTGTCATGTGGTTTTTCAAAGTTTTTCTATCACAGTATCTTTTTCCACAGGTCTCACATGAGAAAGGCTTCTCACCTGTGTGAGTTCTCATGTGTCTAATTAAATTACAGTTTTTATTAAAACCTTTGCCACAGGTCTGACATGAGAAAGACATCTCACCTGTGTGAGTTGACATGTGGTATTTTAAACTTTTTCTATCACAGTATCTTTTTCCACAGGTCTCACATGAGAAAGGTTTCTCACCTGTGTGAGTTCTCATGTGTCTGATTAAATTACAGTTTTTGTTAAAACCTTTTCCACAGGTCTCACATGAGAAAGGCCTCTCACCTGTGTGAGTTTTCATGTGAGTAATCAAAACACTTTTATTATTGAAACTTTTCCCACAGGCCTCACATGAGAAAGGCCTCTCACCTGTGTGAGTTCTCATGTGAGTAATCAAAACATTTTTGTAGTTGAATTTTTTTCCACAGGCTTGACATAAGAAAGGCCTCTCACCTGTTTGATATCTCATGTGAACTCTTAAATTATGTTTCTCTCCGATTTTTTTCCCACGAATCATAAACAATAAATGCGTTTTTTGGTCTATCTTTACGTTTGGACGGTCCACATCATCACCATAACCTTTTGTTTGTAAATTTCTATGAATTTGTTTCGGCTCATCATCTCTGCAGGATCGTCGCTCTACATTCCTGCTTCTTTCCTGATCTTGGTTCTCCACTTTAGGAGAGTTTTGTGAAAGGAGTTGGTCCCAGAAGTTTGGTTTCAGTTCCCGCTGGTTTCTTTCATGAAAACCAGGCATTACCGTACAGGTTTCAGACTCTGGCTCCTCTTTAATCTCTAGAAATTCTGGTTCATCCTTGGGAGGTTCTGGTGCCCCCTGTTTCTCTTGATTGTGTGGAAAATTTGGATCCTTATAGTACTTCATCATTTGTGAAGATTCTGGTGCTTCATGGTCCTCTTTTATTTTTGGAGGTTTTGCTTCTTTTTGGTCCTCTTTCATCGGTGGAGGTTCTGGTTCTTCTTGGTCCTCTTTCATCTGTGGAGGTCCTGGTTCTTCTTGGTCCAAACTGGTGTTCCTCTCCTGGTTACAGAGCTGCTGTTCAGTGAGAATCTTTTCCTCCTTCAAGATATGCTGTGGGAGTTCTGCAGACAGACAAAGGAAAGTACTGATTACTGTAAGAAATCATACTTCACTTTAATAATTTGATTAATTCAAAGATGGTTTGAAAGTTGCAGCTTGAGGTGATCACAGCTTGGCAGGTACAAAGACCACACCTTTCCTAAAACCTTCTGAGATACTGTCCGTATGTTCTGAGATCGGAAATGTGAAGCTGAAGATTTGGTGGCAGAAGAAAGGAAAATGAAGGCTCGTGTTTCTTGTTTTTATAACTGAAGAATTATTATCAGTAATGCAGTAAAGTTGAAACAAAAAAAATGTGTTTTAATGGTGTTGATCTTTATTCTCTCCCTTTTGTGTATTGTTTTGCACTATTAGTGACTGGTATATATCTTAGATCTTTTAGCGTACTGTTTTACGTTCGTTTAGCGTATATCTTGGTTTATATCTCAGATCCTTATTTAAGGCTTCTTTTTACACTTTATATTTTTGCCATTGTTTGATGTAACTGGGACCCTGCGTACAAAATTTCGTTCCACTACATGTACCACATGTAGGGCTGGGCCATATCATATTCGCACGGGCCGACCCGGAGGGGCTGTTATAGAAAACCTGCGGCCATTGGCACGCGCTAACTCCACCGCTGTTGGGTCCACTTTGGACAGTATCCGGATGTGTTTGATCAATGCAAGATCTATTATCAACAAAACTTTTATCCTCAGGGACTACTCAAGAGCACGATTTGGACTTTTTCTGCATCACAGAGACTTGGATGTCTCCAGGTGGGTCCAGCGCCTTGACGGAATTATTGCCACTGAAATGTCTGTATTTTAACGCACCACGGCCATCAGGCCGGCTGCAGGTCTCTTTTCAAATACTTAAAGAGAGTTGGCGCCGTTATCAGAAAGCAGTAAAAGCTGCTAAATCCAAATACTTTTCTGATATCATTACCTCAAACTCTCACAACCCACGTGTCCTCTTCTCTACTCTAAACTCTGTTCTCCACCTCACTGAACCATCACCTCTGGAAGCCTTGACTGAGCTGTGCGAGAACTTCTTACATTTCTTTTTGGAAAAAATTGCGACCACCCGGCCTCTCATTTCCCCTCCTACTCGTGACCCATCCATCCCACCTCAAGCTGTAGCTCTATTTGACCATTTTGAACCCATCACTCTATCTTCTCTAGAGCAGGTCATGTGCAGCTTGAAACTTTCTGGTTCCCCCTTTGATGTGGTCTCCCCTCGACTACTAAAGGAGGTTTTTCCTACTCTAGGTCCGTCCATTCTTGCCATAGTAAACAGTAGTTTATCCTCTGGCGTGGTGCCAAAATCCTTTAAACATGCTGCTGTCCAGCCTCTCTTGAAAAAAATGAAACCTTGACCCCCTCAGTCGTTTCCAACTTCCGGCCTGTCTCCAAACCCCCATTTGTTTCTAAAATACTGGAGAAAATAGTTGAGTCCCAGTTGAAGTGCTTCCTGGAGGATCACACAATCTTAGAGCTATTCCAATCTGGCTTTAAACCTCTCCACAGCACTGAAACTGCCTTGCTGAAGGTTTTTAATGACATCTTCATATCCACAGATACCGGTGATTCTGTGCTGCTTGTCCTATTGGACCTCACAGCCGCCTTTGACACCATCGACCATGAGATCCTCATTGCTAGGTTGGAGCAGTGGGTGGGCATCTCAGGGTCAGCCCTCAATTGGTTCAGATCCTACCTCGCTGACAGATCCTTTTGTCTCCATCAAGGATTTTAGTTCTGCAGCAACAGAGCTTAAATGGGGGGGTTCCGCAGGGGTCCATCCTGGATCCCCTCCTATTCTCTTTATAACTGCTGCCACTTGGTGCTATTTTCTGGAAACACAACATTCCCTTTCACTTCTACGCCGATGACTGTCAAATTTACTTCCCCCTAAGTCACAATGGTACATGCTCTATTCAACCTCTGCGACTGCCTGGCTGACATCAGGGACTGGATGGCTTTAAACTTCTTAAGTTTCAATGAAAAGAAGTCTGAAGTCATGTTATTCCCTCCCAACGACATGATCACAAACCACTGCATCGACCTCTCCATTATCCCTGTCAGAATAACAAAGAGTCACTAATCTGGGAGTGATAATGGACCTTTCCCTGAAACAACAATCATGTAAACATGATTATTAAATCATGATTCTTCCAACTGAGGCGGCTGTCTAAACTGAAGCCCATATTGTTGTAAGGGGAAACAAACTCTCTACTCCTATCCCCTGCCCGGATCGTCAGAATGCTCTGAAATATCACAATATTATATTTGAGCCATATTGCCCACCCCCTAACCAAATGTGATGTAAATGACAATAAAGAATCTCTGACTTCCTGACTCTGACTTGATTGTGTGGCTGAGCAATGAATATTTTCAGTTTTGAACGTCAAAACGTTTAACTCATAGGCGTCGCAACCATTATATGTGGAGGGAACATGTCCCCCCCGCATTAAAAAAACGTTAATTTGGAAAAAAAAAAAAAACACTATAAAGCATTAGTTCAGTCGGCGCAGTTTCTCTTTATTCGTGTTCCATTTATCGTGCTTATTCCATTCCAGTTGATTAAGAGAAGAATACTCAAACCACAAAAAATCCACTCCAGGTTTTCCTGGTTACCTCAAACTCTCCAGAAACCTGCACTGTTTCTGTACGTCTCATCCTGCCTCAGCAGCAGTGTTGCCAGGTGTACGATAATTATCGTATTTGTACGACAATTTTGCCCTCTGTACGATCAATAATCCCAAAAAAGGCCAAATATATGATAATTTGACCATTCCGTGAATGCGTGGTTGTAACTGGTTGTCATCAGCCTCTCACAACTGTCTGTCGGGAGTTTTTTTTGTGAACCCCAAAGGCATCTGTGTCTGCAAGCAGGTGCATGATTGACAAGAAATTCCAGCCAATCGTGCTTTTCTAAATGTTACCCATGAGTGATGTGTTTGCGTTTGCCTCAGAATAACGGCCATGATTGGCTGAATAGGCTGCTGCGCCCGCCCCATGAGTGAGGAAAAGAAAAGACGAGCCGGTCTGGAAGCGGACCAATCACTACTATAGTGCATCAATAGATTTGTTATTTTGGTTATGACGGGTGTACAATAATTTCTCTCAAAATACAATAATTTTATGTCGCTAGTACAATAATCCTACATTTATCACCTGGCAACACTGCTCGGCAGACAACGCTTACAGGTGGAGGAAGTGGAGACTAGGGCATTAACAGAGTACTCGAGTAATCTACACATCGATTGCTAGGACATCTATTGAGGTTAAAAATGTTATGTCGAGTATCCGTAGTGACGTCATATTATGTGACCACCGTATGACCGTAGAGGGCAGTGTTGCACTGTTGCAGGTCACAGAGTACGGTGTAACACCGGGTCCAATCCACCGAACCAGTTTCGATTAAGTTTCGTTTTTGACGTGCTGCATTTTCTTCACGTTTGCAATTTAATAATAATAACTAATAGTTTAGTTTTTCCTGTGACTTATTTGCAGTATGATAAATGGGAGGAGCATAATATACGCTCCCAATGTTTTGTTGGTCTTTTTTTGTAAATAATTACCTTTTTTTTGCGGTTTTATTTATTTATTTATTTTTGTATCTTGAGATCTATGACGTCATCAAATACTCAAGTTCTACTCGGGTTTTATTATGTTAATGTAGAGTTTCAAAATTATATACTCGTTTAACCCCTAGTGGAGACACCTCTGGGTTGCTCGCCAGCTTAGCAAGCTTAGTGCGGGCACTTGTTGACCACGGGGTTGATCATAAACATATATACATGGTTAGGAGGAGAGAAGTGGAGCGCTACATAGCATCTTAGCTTAGCAGTAACTGACGCTGTAAGACGCTGCAGGTGTAAGAGACGCTGTGTGTTAAGGTGCATTAAAGTTGAAATGTCTTTAAACAGCTGAATTTACACAAACTTGGTGAGAAACATGCATTAAATGGAATTAAAGTAAGGAAATCTAGATGAAATGTTGCTTTTTTTGTACACTGGTGCACGTGCACACGCGCACTATAGTGTCCCCCGCACATTACAGACGCTTCTGACACCCATGGCTCCACAATGAAAAGGTTTTTATTACTCAGACCCATGTAGCCTACATGAAGTGAATGGAGGAAGGATGGTGAAGATTGCTCCTCACTTCACTACACTTTTTACTTCTTTTACACTCGTTAAAGCGGGACAACAGCTGATCAGTTTACCAACAACAACAAAATCAATATATTCACCTTTAATAATCATAACTCAATCACTTAAGTAGAATCTGTTAATTACAGGGAAATCAATACCATCACAAATGAATATTCAAACCAAGGAGACCAAAGTTGTCTTTGAAATTTTATTACAAAAATATTTAATCAAACTAAAAATCAACAAACAGACTAAACAATCAAACAACATAAATCATAAAAGTTAATAATTTGTAGAATAACCAGTATTAAAAGTAATAAATTATTAACAATTAATCAATCAAGGACTGATTCTTTTATGGTAATGTTTTGACTATTGTCGACTCAGCTGTGTCTTGAACCTTCAGAAATAAACACTTTCAGCTGCAAACTGCATCCAACAAAACTTTCCTGAACGTGTCTTGATGTCGCTGCAGCTCCTACCTGTTGTGTGCAGGTGTGTGTGAGGTTTCCAGCTGATGTCCAGCAGTCTGCGCTGACGATCGATCTCTTCCTCGTACCGGACGATGGTTTTTTCAAACTCTGTGAATATTTCTTCAGCAGCAGCAGTTAGTCGCTCGCTGATAAACTCTCTCAGAGACTGAACTGAAGACATTGTTGCTGCACACACTCAACACATTCACCTCTCTCACACACACAGAGCTAACGATGCTAACGCTGCTAGCGCCTTGTTGACTTCCGCTGGTGTCGCACTGTGAGGCTCCGGCAGAAACTGCATATTTCCGCCTTCAATAGGAACCAACTGTTGAAATGAAAACAGAATAGAGTAGAAAATAAAGAATTTACACAGTTTAATCCAACTAGTGTTATCTCTCCATGGTTAATTCCAGAAAGTAAAGTAGACACGAAAATTCTTGAAATGAAAAGAGAATTGAACAAAAATGAAATGGGGGTGCAATTAAGAGACATATTTAATTACCTGGAAGTTTATACAGATGGCTCAAAGAGCACAAAGGGGTGGGTTGGAATAAGGGTTTATATACCAGAGTTTGAAGTTTGTATATCTAAAAGAATTTCTGATCAACTTTCAGTTTTCACAGCAGAAATGGTGGCAGGAATATTTAGTCTACAGTGGATAGAGGAAGTTATCCATGGTGGTGATATGCACCGACTCAAAGGCTGTCATAGAAGCATACAGTATAAAGGAAACAACAGGAAAGTCTACTTCTAGAAATACAGCTCACATTATTCAGGTTACACAGGGGAGGTATGGACGTTCATTTTTGTTGGGTGCCAGCACGAGGGGTTGGAAGGAAATGAAATAGCAGATAAACTGCTAAAAAGCATTAAAAGGTGAAATAACAGTTAATATTCCGTTAGGGAAAGGAGAGGTTTAAGTCAATTATTAGAGGAAAAGAAATAGAAAACTGTCAGAAAACGTGGAATGAGGACAAGAAAGGAAGATTATATAAAATTCAAAAAGCAGTTAAAAAAATAATTAGAGAGAAAGAAGAAGAGGTGATAGTAATGAGAATGAGGATAGGCCATACACTTCTAAATGACACAATGCATATGATGGGGAAAAGGAATAACAGTAGATGTGAGGAAAGAGGGGAAACAGAAAGTGTGGAACATGTTCTGATGGAGTGCATTAAACATACAGAAGAAAGGGAGAGATTGAAAGAAAAAGTCAAAGAGGCAGGACGAGTATGGAGTTTAGGAGGAATATTAGGGATAAGGACAAAATAAGTGATGTTATAAAAGCGTTGTTTATATATTTACATAACATAAATATTAAAAATAGAATCTAGGGAAAGGAGACCATGAGCAACACACTTGCTCAGTAGGTGGCGGTATGCACTGAACATTGTTTGCAATCTGCCAATAAACTAAAAGAAGAAAAACAGAAAAATCGATGCAAGTTGGCACTAAACTTACTTGATTTTTAAAAAATCCAGTTTTACAGTTTTTAACAGCTTAGTTTATCTGCAGCTTGTTGATTAAAAACTTGATACTGATTCTGGAACATAAAGAGGAAAATGTCATTTTCCAACAACTGGGTCTTTATTTCTTTCTGATACTAATCATATTCAAAGAAAACATGCAACTATTCTAAAAATTCACTTATGAATATAAGAAAATACAACACTTTCAGCTGTTTTCCCCCCCTAAATGCAACATTCATTTTTTCATTCATTCAACCTTTATTTATACAGGTTCATCCCATTGAGTCCCGGGGACTCATTTACAAGAGAGACCTGAATTTAACAAAGAGTGATGACAACAGTGGACGACAATAGACAATCATAAAAGACATCTAAAAATTGAGATTATTATTTTTTTAAACAAGTGAACATAAAATGGTATTTAATAGAAAAAGTAACACAAAAAAAACAGCTAGGTTGTAAGGTGGTGTAGAAAACCAAAAACAAACATATTTATGTTGCATTTTATGGAAATGTAACATAATGTTAGCTCTGCATTTTTGTCATTCATCCTTTTGAAGGACAAAATATTTGGGTCACGGGGGTCGCCGGTGCCCATGTCCAGCAATCACTGTGCGAGGGGCGGGGTACACCCTGGACAGGTCGCAAGTCCATCACAGGGCCAATCACAACTCATTGATTGCCAATACAAATTCTAAACCAATAAATAAAACATTTTCTCTCTAAAGTGAATTTCTCTAAATATCTACTGTCTGCACACATTCCTCTGGTGCAGCCTACTTTGTTAAACTCAACTACATAACCCATAATGCCACAGTCTTAAAGGTCACAGTCAATAGTCCCTCCATACTTTGCGGTTCATTTTTCGCAGACTCGCTCCATCACGGTTTTTCAAAGTAAGATTGGACATGACACACAATACAAAACAACAGTTTAAGACTTGTTTTACCATTCAGACACTTTCCCACAGGTCCAGCAATGTTCAGTCAGGTCATCTGGATGATTTAGTTTTTTGTGGGGACATTTCGTCTTTCATCCAAAGGGCTTCATCAGTCCGAGGAGCCACAAACAAACTGAGTCCCACAAGAAGCACACACCCATAGTGGAAAAAAACCAGTGTTGGTGATAAGATGGTTTCTGGGGCCTGCCCTCTCCCCCATCATCTCCTCTGAAGCAGCCATGCTAAAGTGGTTCAAAATATCAAAACATTCAAACAATCGTATCACCAGCAAACTGTTGTTTTCCACTATGGGAGTGTCCTGCTTGTGGGATTCAGTTTGTTTGTGGCTCCTCTGACTGATCTAGTCCTTTGGATGAAGGATGAAACATCTCAGCAAAAAAAAAGAAATCATCCAGATGACCTGAATGAACATTGTTGGATTTGTACCTGAATTATTGGGCATGACCTTTAACCTTTCCCACAGGACTACAGTTTGATGAATGTCTGACTCCAACTTGTCAACTCTGAGTTTTAGCAAATTCCAAAGTCTGAGAAAGTTACAAGAGTCACAAGATTACACCTTCTCACATGTCTGATAAAAATACATTTTTGAATAAATTATTTTCCACTGGACTGACAGGAGAATGGTCTTTGACCTGAATTCTCATGTGGTGTTTACTTTTGTTTTCACTGTAACTTTTCCATAAAGTAAAAGTAAAAGGCTTTTATTCGGTGTGAGTTGTCATGTGGTTTTTAAAACTTGTTCTATCACTGTAACTTTCTCCACAGGTCTCACATGAGAAAGGCTTCTCACCTGTGTGAGTTGTCATGTGGTATTTTAAATTTTGTTTATCACCGTAACTTCTTCCACAGGTCTCACATGAGAAAGGCTTCTCACCTGTGTGAGTTCTCATGTGTCTGATTAAATTACTGTTTTTATGAAAACCTTTTCCACAGGTCTGACATGAGAAAATATTTTCACCTGTGTGAGTTTTCACGTGTATGTTTAAATCAAATTTCTGATTAAAACTTTTTCCACAGGTCTGACATGAGAAAGGCTTCTCACCTGTGTGAGTTCTCATGTGTCTGATTAAATCATAGTTTTTATTAAAACCTTTTCCACAGGTCTGACATGAGAAAGGCTTCTCATCTGTGTGAATTGTCATGTGGCATTTTAAACCTTTTCTATCCCAATATCTTTTTCCACAGGTCTGACATGAGAAAGGCTTCTCACCTGTGTGAGTTCTCATGTGTCTGATTAAATCATAGTTTTTATAAAAACCTTTTCCACAGGTCTGACATGAGAAAGGCCTCTCACCTGTGTGAATTGTCATGTGTCTGATTAAAGCAATGTTTTGTTTAAAACTTTTTCCACAGGTCTGACATGAGAAAGGCTTTTCACCTGTGTGAGTTGTCAAGTGGTATTTTAAACCTTTTCTATCCCAATATCTTTTTCCACAGGTCTGACATGAGAAAGGTTTCTCACCTGTATGAGTTGCCATGTGGTATTTTAAACTGTTTCTATCACTGTATCTTTTTCCACAAGTCTCACATGAGAAAGGCTTCTCACCTGTGTGAGTTGTCATGTGATATTTTAAACCTTTTCTATCACAGTATCTTTTTCCACAGGTCTCACATGGGAACAGTTTCTCACCTGTGTGAGTTGTCATGTGGCATTTTAAACTTTTTCTATCACAGTATCTTTTTCCACAAGTCTCACATGAGAAAGGCTTCTCACCTGTGTGAGTTGTCATGTGGCATTTTAAACCTTTTCTATCACAGTATCTTTTTCCACAGGTCTGACATGAGAAAGGCTTCTCACCTGTGTGACGTCTCATGTGAACTGTTAAATCATATTTGTTTCTGAATGTTTTTCCACAAGTCATACACAATAAAGGCGATGTTTGGTCTATCTTTACGTTTGGACGGTCCACATTGTCACCATATCCTCCTGTTTGTAGATTTGTCTCATTTTGTTTTGGCTCTTCATCTCTGCAGGATCCTGGCTCTACATTCCTGCTTCTTTCCTGATCATGGTTCTCCACTTTAGGAGAGTTTTGTGAAAGGAGTTGGTCCGAGTTTGGTTCCAGTTCCCACTGGTTTATTTCATTAAATACAGGGGTTACCATAAAGTTTTCAGTCTCCGGCTCCTCTTTTATCTCTAGAAATTCTGGTTCATCCTTGGGAGGTTTTGGTGTTCCCCGTTTCTCTTCATTGAGTGGATAATTGGGATCCTCATAGTACTTCATCATCTGTGAAAATTCTGGTGCATCATGGTCCTCTTTGATTTTTGGAGGTTTTGCTTCCGTTTTGTCCTCATTCATCTGTGGAGGTTCTGGTTCTTCTTGGTCCTCTTTTATCTGTGGAGTTTCTGGTTTTTCTTGGTCCAAACTGGTGTTCCTCTCCTGGTTACAGAGCTGCTGCTCAGTGAGAATCTTTTCCTCCTTCAAGATATGCTGTGGGAGTTCTGCAGACAGACAAAGGAAAGTACTGATTATTGTTACTGTAAGAAATCATATTTCACTTTAATTATTTGATTAATTCAAAGATGGTTTGAAAGTTGCTGCTTTAGGCGATCAAAGCTTGGCAGGTGGAGACCACACCTTTCCTAAAACCTTCTGGGATACTGTCTGTCTGTTCTGAGATTGGAAAAGTGAGGCTGAAAATTTGGTGGCTGAAGAAAGAAAAATAAAGAGTCGTGATTCTTATTATAACTGATTGAATTATTATCAGTAATGCAGTAAATTTGAAACAACAAAAAGTGTTTTAATTGCATTGATCTTTATTTCCTCCCTTTGGATTGTGAGGAAGAGCACAGAAGATTTTCAGTTTCAAACATCAAAGCGTTTAACTCCACAATGAAAAGTTTATTTTACTCTCACGCTGCCCCATGTAGCCTATATGAAGTGAATGGAGGAAGGAGGGTGAAGTTTGCTCCTCAATTCACTACACTGTTTTTACTCCTTTTGAACTCGTTAAAGCACCAGCTGATCAGTTTACTGATCAACAACTTAATCAATATATTCACCTTTAATAACGAGAACTCAATCACTGAAGTAGAATGTGGTGTTCAGTGACTCAGAAAGCCAGACCATCTGAAAAAAATAATTTTGGTCCAGGAAAGGCCGCTCCCATCCCACCGGTCACTCCGAGCTAGGGCTGTATACCGAACCAAGGTTCTTTTATAGCACAGACCAAACTGTGTCGGTCAGTTTATGGATTTAAACGTTAACTATTTTTTCTGTGTCAGGCTCACCACCTGTGGGAGGGGCCAAAGGAGTCGGGTGCAATGTGGGATGGGTGGTGGCCGAGGGCGGGGACCCTGGCGGTCTGATCCTCGGCTACAGAAGCTGGCTATTGGGACATGGAATGTCACCTCACTGGTGTGGAAGGAGCCTGAGCTGGTGTGTGAGGCTGAGAGATTCCAGCTAGAAATTGTCTGACTCACCTCTACACATGGCTCTGGAACCAGTTTCCTTGAGAGGGGCTGGACACTCTTCCACTCTGGAGTTGCCCCTGGTGAGAGGCGCTGAGCAGGAGTGGGCATACTTATTGCCCCCCCCCACCCCCCCACCCCCAACTTGGTGCCTGTGTGTTGGGGTTCACCCCGGTGAATGAGAGGGTGGCCTCCCTCCGCCTACGTATGGGGAGACGGGTTCTGACTGTCGTTTGTGCTTATGCACCAAACGGCAGTTCAGATTATCCACCCTTTTTGGAGTCCTTGGAGGGGGTACTGGAAAGTGCACCTCCTGGGGACTCCCTTGTTCTGCTGGGGGACTTCAATGCTCACGTGGGCAATGACAGTGAGACCTGGAGGGGTGTGGTTGGGAGGAACGGCCCCCCCCGATCTGAACCTGAGTGGTGTTCTGTTGTTGGACTTCTGTGCTCGTCATGGATTGTAAATAACGAACACCATGTTCAAGCATAAGGGTGTCCATATGTGCTCTTGGCACCAGGACACCCTAGGCCGCAGTTCGATGATCGACTTTGTCATCGTCTCATCTGATTTGCGGCCACATGTCTTGGACACTCGGGTGAAGAGAGGGGTGGGGCTGTCCACTGATCACTACCTGGTGGTGAGTTGGCTCCGATGGTGGGGGAGGATGCCGGTCAGACGGGTTTGCTGGGAACATCTGGCAGAGTCTCCTGTGAGACGGCGTTTTAACTCCCACCTCCGGGAGAACTTCGAACATGTTCCGGGGAAGGTGGGGGACATTGAGTCTGAGTGGGCCATGTTCCGTGCCTCTATTGTCGAGGCAGCTTACCGGAGCTGCGGGTGCAAGGTTGTCGGTACCTATCGCGGCAGCAACCCTCGAACCCGGTAGTGGACACCGTCGGTGAGGGATGCTGTCAGGCTGAAGAAGGAGTCCTATTGGGCCTTTTTGGCCTGTGGGACCCGGAAGCAGCTGATGGGTACTGGCAGTCCAAGCAACATGAGGCTCGGGTGGTCGCTGAGGCAAAAACTCGGGCATGGGAGGAGTTCGGAGAGGCCATGGAGAATGACTTCCATACGGCTTCGAGTCGATTCAGGTCCACCATCTGGCATCTCAGGGGGGGGAAGCGGTACGCCACCAACATTGTTTATAGTGGGAGTGGTGTGCTACTGACCTCAACACAGGATGTTGTGGGTCGGTGGGCAGAATACTTTGAAGACCTCCTCAATCTCACCAGCACGTCTTCCACTGAGGAAGTGGAGCCTGGGGACTCTGGGTCGGGCCCTCCAATCTCTGGTGCTGAGGTCACCGAGGTGGTTAAAAAGCTCCTTGGTGGCAGGGCCCCAGGGGTGGATGAGATTCGCCCGGAGTTCATGACGGAACAGGACTAGAACAAACGAGCCAAGGACGACATCAGCCTCTCCAGTCAGTTCTCATCCTTGTCTGTCTGGAGGAAGCTCTCGTGCTGTGAAGCGCCGAGGAGCAGCGTTGATGAGCAGGAGCAACTGATCGAAAGAAAACCGGAGTCTGCATTAGAGTTCTGCTGGGCTTCTAAAACTCACCTGGATAATAATTTTGATCCGTGCGGGTCCTCCGGTTCAGAACGGGTCAGCTGAGTTTGTTCCTGGATCACACTGTTGTCCTCTGTTGATCCGAACCAAGTCAGGACCACGCTTTTCCATTTGTTGTGGAATATCAGCTTATGCCTGTTGGTACTGAACCCACCATCTGTTCATCATGAGAGCAGCTGCAGCAGCTGGTGCGATTCATCTTCACAGGGGTGCTCCCCTCAGCCCAATTCAAATTCTAGTTGGACCACAACGTTGGACCCGTTGGCCCATCTGATCTGCGAAGCTGTCTGGTGTGAGACTTTTCTGCATCAGTCACAATTTTCCCATCATTTTCAGAGCTCTGACTATCTGGAGTCACTGAACATTGTTGACACATCTGGATCCGCCTCTCCCTGCAATCTTCATTGTTTCTGGGTAATCATGTCTTTTTAACTTTCCTCATGGTTCGATTATGGGGGCTAATTGTCACACTATTAACTCCTGTAATTACACACCAGTCACAAGAAACACAAGAAAATGTCTGATAATATTGTTGTTACTGTTCTCAGGGATTCAGCCCAACCCTGGAACCCCCACTCATTACAGCACACCAAATAATTTTAAAAGCATGTCAGGACTTCTTCATTTTCTGCATGTAAACACACGTAGTCTTTTGAGAAAACTTGCCACTTTGAAAATTCTGGTCCGTTCTTCTGGGACTGATGTAATCGACATTTCTGAATCCTGGCTGAACAAATCTGTCCTGAATAATGGCCTGGCAACCAGTGGATTTAACATCTATCACTGTGATAGTCAAAAAAAAAAAAGAGGGGGGGGGGGGGGTCACTATTTACATCAGAGAAACCCTGGATTCTAGTCTTGTGTCAGCCAAAAAAATCCCAAACCAATTTGAGGCCTTAAGCCTCCAGTATACTGCCGCGTATGTCTGTTCACGCGTACGTACACGTGTACTGTACGCAGAGGGTTCAGACTTCATACTCCAGCGTTCACCCCGAGCAGCTGCAGAGCAGCTTCACAAACAAGGGGCGTTTACCTTCGGGACAAATTGAGGTCGCCGATTGGTCATTTGCTGACACGTCTACTGGATTGATTGACAGGTCGGAAAAAAGAAAAAAAAGCGAGCGCTGGCAGCCTCAGCCGCAGCGGTGTTCTGTGTTTATATGTTGTTAATAAAAAGATCTAAAAAATAAAAAAAAACAGGAAGCGCTGGCTCTACAGCCCACACATCAGACCAGCCCACCAGGAAATCTCCGGACCCTCCTGCAGCCATGCTGGACCTGAGTTTAATTCGCTCGTGACAAATTCCTTCATTTCTCACCATTTCAGTCATGACATCAACGGAGGAGGAAGAGACTGCCTCTTGGCAAAAAACAAAAGAAAAGGCCAGATCAGGGATGAAGAAGGAATTTAATACATTGGTGTTGCATACAAAACAGTCCGTCGATGGGCAGTTTATTGTGCAACACCGTGTACACTAGGAATGCGCGATATAAACGTTACACGGTAGAAACGATAGACATTTAGCCTACGATAGAGATCTGTCTTCTACCGGCTAACCGCAGTAATGCTGTGTCTGATGTAAAATCAGAGTTGTCAGTTTAATCGTTACTTTTATTTAGTTGAAAAGTGTGCGTAAGTGGTGCTCAAGTGTAAAGACAGCCCTGACAGATTTAATCGTTACTTTTTTTTAGTTAAAAACTGTGCGCAAGTGGCGTTAAAGTCTTTTCTTCGATAGCTAAGTAGCGAAGCTACAAGCTAACTACAGCCGGCTTGCCGTAGTGTTGCCGTATTCTGACGCATGCACAAAACTATGTGTTCCGTCTAAAGTTTTTTTTTTCCCATCGTAAGTTAAAGTAAGCGTTGGTCAGCTTTAGAGAAACCTGCTCTCTGATCTGTGATAAGAACGCTGTGTTGTGTGATTTTACTGCGAGACCCTCTGGTCAAAGTCACAGAGTCATTTTGTGTCAGCTCTCCATTAAAGCAGAAGGAGGCGCCCACTAGAGGTTTGGAGGATGAAGTGTTTCAGTGTAAAATGCTGCTCTTTTTCTGTTCATTTATTAAGTAAAACTGGAAACTGTTAAAAGTTAACATTTGCTTTTGTTTAAAACATATGGCTAAAACTACATTTGATATCTTTTGCACTGTTTTGCACTACAAGAAAGAAGCCTAATAATTGATTTGTTTATTATTTAAAAACTCTCTGGACCTAGTAGTGGAATTTTCTTAATTCAAAATATAATGGCAAAAGGACACCCTATGCTTTTTTTTTTTTAGCAATTTTATACCAAAAACATATTGCGATATATATCGTTATCGCCACCCTTCACAATACATATCGTGATATGAATTTTATGCCATATCGCACATTCCTAGTGTACACGTATGCGGTCGTAAAAATTGAGCTTTGCAAGGACATGCCCTGGGGGGTACGTGCGTACCTCTGCGTATGGACGTACGTGGCA